AGAATTATGAAGAAATGTTCAGAAAATACTGAGAATAGTGAAATCAGGAACACAGCCTAATGTTCTTTCATGTAAAATCTGTTTAGGTTAAGGGTTTAGTGGTTGGGGGTTTTTTTGCTTGTTTGGTTTTTTTTTTTTTTTAAGATCTCCTTATTGCAAGTGCTCAGTTCTGTGTCACTTAGGGTTTAATTTTGCTTGATTGCAATTGTGATTTTCTAGGTGAGGTATGAAATTAAAATGTGCACCTCAAGGGATGCAGAATGGAGAAGCTGCCCCTGGTTTTCTGAAACTATTTTCTGTGAAACAAGAGTAAAAAGAATGAAAAATATGAGTTACTTATTCTGTTTGGTTGAGTTCTAGGATACTGATGTTACTTTAGGTTTAGACAGTTGTATTTTAGAGGTATCATTTTGCACGGGCTGGGTCCTATCAGCTACCCCCATGCCTTTGTCCATCTTTCTGGCCCCATTATTGGACTGTAGGGTCTCTGTATTCTTTTTTCTGATTCATCTTTACACCTTGAAAAGTTCTTGGGGGCTTTAAACAGTTTTCATGCTTATCTGCTAACAGAAATGTTGGAAGTTCAAGTCCCCCAAAAGCATTTTGGAAGAAGGGCATGGTTATTAATTTCTCAAGAGCCAGCCATTGAAAACCCTATAGAGCATCACAGTACTGTGACCCAGATAGGAGCACCCTGTATCATAGCTGAGTCGATGGTGGTCGGTTGACTGCCATTGTGATATGAAGACTCTCTGCTGTTCTGTAGGTTGTCTAAATACTGCTGGGGCAGCTACTGTTATGGTCGGGAAATCTTATTGCTGCCTCTGCCAATTAGAGTGTGGTTGGGTTGTCTTTTAACAGTATTTCCTTTAGTTCTACCTCACAACTCTTGCCTAGCTCAACCTTAATTTTATTTATTGTCACTTGAACACTTTCATTTATTTCTGTGACTTTTTTTATGTTATTGAGCTGTAATTGACACATGCTAAATTGAACATGTTTACAACATGCAGTTTGCCCCATGAAACCATCATAGCAGTCATGTTAATAAACATAGCCATCACCTCTAAAAGTTTGTTCCTGCCCTTTTGTAAAAATCCCTCACCCTGCCCTCATACTAATGCTTTTCTTCTTCATGCCTTTATAGATGAATTTGCAGTTGCCAAAATTTTATACATTTGGCTCTGTGCAATGTGTACATATTGTCTCACATTTTTCACTCAGTGTATTTGAGATTTACCCACACCATTGTGTATGTCATGACTGATTTTTGTTGCTGAGTAGTCTTCAGTTGTATGAATTTAGTACAATTTACCCGTTTATATATTGGACATGGTTGTGCCTGGTTTGAAGGTGTTATGAATAAAGCTTCCATGAATATTCACACACAAGTATTTTCAAGGCCATATACAGACATTTCTCTTGAATAAAAACTCAAGGATGGAACTGTTTTCCAAAATACTTGGATCATTTTACATTCTTTCTGTCAACAGTGTGAAAGTACTAGTTACTCCATACTATTTTCAAGATATGTCTCACTTTTAAATTTTAGCCACCCAGTACATCTTTCTGACACAGCAAGTAATTGCAAACACCATGGCCTGGATCTGGAGCACCTTAGTCTCCAGACTGAGCAATACATAACTTAGCAACAGTACACGTGATTAGATAACTCATTGTGGTTTTAATTTGCATTTTCCTGACAACTTCTGAAAATTGGATAATGACTATGGATGACAGAAGAAGAAGAATCAACCTATGCCTTTGAATTGTGGTAATAGAGAAGAATATGGAATAGCCCATGGATGGCTAAAAGAACAAATAAGTATGTCTTGGAAAAAATATAGCCAGTGTATTCCTTGATAGGCAGGAATGGTGAGACTTTATCTCATGTATTTTAGGCCTGTTGTTGGGAGATGCTGATCTTTGGAAAAGTATATAATACTTAGAAAAGAGGAGGGTCAGTGAAAGAGAGAAAGACCCTTCAGGATATGGATTGATACAGTGGCTGCTGTATGTCAGAAATGATGAGGATGGCACATGATTGTTCCCAGGGTCACTAGGAGCCATATACAACTCAATTGCACCCAACAACAAACATGTTTTAATACCTTCATTCAACATATACAATGCCTCATAGCTTTGTTTGATCATTAAAATATTCTCTGACTTTCCCTATCCTCTAAATCACATGCTTGTTTTGGCTTTTCAACTTTGGCATCTTTGTAACTAACGTAAGTGTCCATATGTGAAAGATTAATTTCAGTAAATGAATATTGCTTTGAAATGTTATATTTAGGATTTCTCTTTTATTATTTGTTAGATTTAAACCAAGGAAACCTAGTTAGATTTATGGGTTTAGTGGTTTTCGTCTGTTTGATTTTGATGTGTATTTTTCTTTTAAAGTTGGCATTTTTCTAGGGTATATAAAACAGAACTCAGACATCTAAATAATTTAGATAAACTCATGATAGCCTTGTTGAGGTTGGGACAGGGAATGTGATGACACACTCCCAACCATTATTGCCATGTGGACTTTGAAGTGGTTAGTGTTTTGAAGAACATATTTTAAATTCTACTTCAAGGCTTTTTTTCCCCTTTGGAAGCTGATGCCTGAGGTTCCTCAAGGTTAATTGTCTTTTGTAACACTTTGAGCTGGAATTAGAGTCATAACTCTTCATTCACAGGCTCTCGCTCCTTCTGTCCTTCTGTCCTTCTGTGACATGGAGGACAGGTTGTTTCATGGAGCCACTTCCATTAGTCATTAACTCTGGTGCTATTTTTTTCTTCTACCTTTACAACACTCTGATTTATCAAAAGGAAAAAGAAAAAAGGTCATGTGTTTATTATTCCATCAGAGAAGTGTTGGTCAGATTGACATTTTCTTTAAAAATTTTATTTATTTTTAAAAGAAATTTCTGCTAGCTTATTTAAAATATTTAAATACATTGTTTTCAAGAAAAAAAATTCAATTTCCCTCATCCCCCTGACACAACAAATTGTACAACCCCATGATTAATGGCATTTTCTGAGTGGGTGATCTGCTCGGTCATTTATCTGTCAACATCTCTCTATTTCAGCTCTTTTGGAATCTTCTGACTTAATGTCACAGGAGAAAATTTGACATATCTGGTTCATTTGTGTGTGGTGTGGGGTCAGTTGAGTCACCTCCTGCTGCACACTTCCCCCTCCCCCCCCGCACTGTGTGTAAATCTTGATGTTATTAATGAACAATTAATGAGCTCTGATGGCCTAGTGAGTTAGGAGTTGTGCTGCCAACCCAAAGGCACAAGATTCAAATCCATAGCTCCTCCAAGGGAGGAAGATGGTCATTCTCCTCCCAGGCAGTTTATAGCTGTTGAAAACATTCTGGACGGTTAGCTTGATACAGTGACATATTTTAATAATTCTTAATAAAGATTATAGTTTATAAAACTAAACAAAGGTTTAGAGGGATTTGTAACAGAGCGAGTCCCCAAAAAGATCACCGAGCCAATTAGCCGAATTAACAAAGTTTATTTCGAGTTCAAACCCGGGCTCCCGTGTGCTGACACAGCAGCATCCACCCGAGAGCCCCGAATTAATGTCTGCCCCTCCTTTTATACCTCTGCTACTCCCCTGCCCAACTATACATGGCATGCATGATTGGCCATCCACAGTAGCTGGGGTATTTGTCCACCTTCAAATTGGCTAGCCATAGCTCAGGGTGACAGTTTGGAAACCTATTTGAATCTTATAGGTTACTTCAGATACAGGAATGCAGAAAATCCCTTGTGCCCTTAAGAAGAAGAAGAATAATTCCACTTTATGGCAGTTGATCAATCCGGGTGGGATTTACCACAGGTGGGGGTTGTTTGTTAAAAAACCACTCAAGTGGGTAGGGTAGGGTTAACTGTACTTTACCAGAAACCAGAGTTTCTGATAACTGGTCCTTTCAGGATTGATTGCTAAGTGAAAGTTTGGAAGTTCAACTCGACTCAGGCACCTCTAAAGTGTATGACTGTCCAGTAAATGTTGTAGAGGCCTGGCACTATACTTTGACATTATCAGTCACTGAAAACCCTAGAGAGCACAATTGTGTTGATACATATGTGATCAGCAGTGGCTGAAGTTGATTTGATAGCAGCTGGTTTAAAACAGAAGACTATCTCTTAAACCTGCTTTATGGGGATTGTCTTCTGAAGAACTAATGAAAATAATGAAAAGTAAATTGCTTACAAACATATAAGATACTCTACCAGTATAAGATGTTATTCTTGTTAGGATCATATGGGGAGGAATATAAGACCAAATGATAGAATTTATATGGAATTAATACTGTATTCTCTCAGTTCACAAGCAAAACTATATTTTTTAAGATGATGAGCATTCTCATTTACTTGTGGGTTTTTTTTTTTCTTTTTCGAAATCCGTTTGCTTACGAATTTCATATACATGGTATTTTACACTATTCTTCACACTGTGTTTAATACAATCATTCTGATGCATTGTATTTTATAAAATTATTCACCATTGGACCTTGCCCATCATTACCCTGTCTTTTTACCTGGATCCTTCCCATTCCTTTTCCCCTCTCCCTTCACCCACCCAAACCTTGTGCTGAGTGAACTAGCTCGGTCTTGTAAGGACAAATATCACTATTGTAAAAATAGAAAGATAACTAGTAAAACATTTATGGGAACCCAAGGGAGGAAGGGAGAGTGGGAATGGAGGAGTGAGGATGGATAAGGTTGAAGCCACAGGGTTGCAGAATGATATTTTATTCATAGCTTGTGATAAGTTCCTGATTTAGAAAAATTAGAATTGTTTTTGGGTCTTTTCTTTATATCTTTTGTTATCAAAGAGAAGCTTTCCACACAAGGAAGTAAAATAATAATTGGACATTTATGATTTTTTTTGATAATATAACTAATGTTTAACCTTTGGTCTTTTGATGCTGTGATAAGCATGGTTTGGTTTGGTTTGGCTTGTTTTCCAAAATGATTCTCTTTTCATTTTAGGAAACAGATATTGATGACAGATATGGAGATTTGGATTCCAGAACAGATTCCGATATTCCAGAAATCCCACCATCCACAGATAGGACGCCTGAAATTCTCAAGAAAGCCTTATCTGGCTTATCTTCAAGGTATGCATGGATGAAAAAATTAACATAGTTGGGAGACAAGATAAACTGTGAGATTGTCTTCCTCCATGTGATAAAGTTGACTTTTAATACATTCTGGAACTATGACAGTGATAAACTCTTTGAATACCTGAAATGTACTGCTCTCCATTACATGTTGTTACTAGCTCCCATTGACAACAGCTCATAGTGATCCTATGAACAACAGATGTGAACTTTGTCCTATCCTGAACCATCCTGACCAGCTCTCATCTGCTTTAGCCCATTGTTGCACTCACTGCGTTAAGCTATCTTGTTGAGAGTTTTCCTCCCTTTTGCTCACCCTCCATCTTTCCTAGCATGATCTTTTTCCAGGGACTGACCTCTTTCAAACCCTTTCTTTTAATCCTGAAGAACTTGTGAAGTATAAGAAAACCAAATTGGAAAGGCTTCCTAGCTAGTTAGATAAGGTGCTGAGAATCTTGCCTTGGTCTGTTCAACTCTGAATCTGGTGAGTGATATGTTTATGAGCCAGATTGTGTTTTCCGGTATTGGAACATCTAGTACAGAAAATTCCATATTCATATAACCTGTTTTTCAAATGTCAGACAGAAATACATAGTTTTTCTTTTGGATTGTGTAATCCTTTAACATTTCATATATTACCTTCTGTATTTGGCCTCTCTAAGATTCTTTTGGTGGTTTTTTTGTTTGTTTTTTGGGTTTTTTTATTAATTATTTTATTATTATTAATTTCAGTGAACATCTACAGAGATTTTGGAATTCCATTCATTCATTGTTGCGCTTTTCTCCCCACCCATTCACACCCACCCCCACCCCCAGTTCACTCCTCTCCTTGAAAAGCAAAAGAAAAACTCTTTTGGTGTTTTTAAAATTACATCAACTGCCATTGAGTTGATTCTGATTCATCATAATTCAGCCATTATTTTCTCACTTGCTTCATGTGCCATGTGAAAGGTGAGCACCTTTGAATAAAGAAAAGCTAAGAAGAGTGGATTCCTTTGAATTGTGTTGTTGATGAAGAGTACTGAATATCCCACACGTTTGTCTAAAGAAAAACAAATCTATTCTGAAGGAAGCACAACCGAAGTCCTCTTCAGAGACAAGGATGGTGAAACTTCATCTCACATGCTTTGAGCATGTTGTCAGAAAGTGCCAGTCATGCTGGGAAAGATAGAGGTTCGGGCTGAAGAGAGAAAGACCCTCAACACAATGAATCAACACAGTGACAGGTAACAGTGAGCTTGAGCGTGGCAGACCACATAGGATGTAGCAAACGTGCAAGGCAAACTAGAGCTGACCCATAGGATTTCCAGGACTGTAAATCTATACAGATATCATCTATCTCTCACCCATCTTTTTTTTTTTTTTATAAATGAAGAGACTGAAGCACAAAGATGTTACATGTCAAGGGTCATGTAAGTGATGAAGTGATAAGTGATAAAGGGATGTTCTGAACTTAGGCATCCCATCTTTAATGCCTGTGATCTTACCCTCTGCTGTTGCTGTTTAATAAACAGAGGGACATTCTCCTCCTGTGCACACAAGGATTGGAGGACTCATAAACAACCTGAGATAGGCAGATAACACAGCCTTGCTTGCTGAAAAATTGAGGAGGACTTGAAGCACTTGATGCAGAAGGTCAAGGACTGCAGCCTTCAATATGGATTGAAGCTCAACATCAAGAAAACAAAGATTGTCACCACTGGGCTGTTTGGCAGCATCATGATAGATGGTGAAGAGATTGACATTGTTAACAGCTTTAGTTTGCTTGGCTCCACAATCAACACTCTTGGCACCAACAGCCAGGAAATTAAAAGACAAATGGCATTGGGAAAGTCTGCTGTCAGAGACCTCTCCACAATACTGAAGAGCAACAGTGTCAGTCTGGACACTAAGGTGCTCCTGATCCAGGCAATGGTCTTTGTAATCACTTGCTATGCATCAGAGAACTGGACAGTGACTAGGGATGACAGAAAGAGAATTGATGCCTTAGAGCTATGGTGTTGGGGAATAGTATTGAATATACCATGGACTGCTAGGAGAACAAACAAGTTCATCCTTGAGAGGGTGAAACGAGCTGCTCCTTGGAGGCAAAGATTCTGAAGCTTCGTCTGACATACTTTTAATATGTTGCAAGGAGGGACCAGTCCTTGAGAGGGACATCATGCTTGGGAAGGTGGAGGGACAGCACAGGAGGGGAAGGCCCTCGATGAGATAGATTGATTCAGTGAGAATAAATGAGGGTAGGTGTTTCTGAGACAGTGAGACTGGGACAGGACAGAGCAGAGTTTAGGGCTGTTGTACATAGGGTCACTATGAGTCACAGGTGACTCAACAGCACATAACAACAACAACAATTTCATAAACATGGGATAATACATGGCTAGTTTCCATTCTTTTAAGAAAATTTTCTGAAAAGATTACCTGAATGTTTCAAAGTTCATGCATTATGCATGCTAACCTGGTTTTGGTTTGCTTTTCCCCCTCCCAAATACTAAAAATAGGATGCTTTGCAAAAACCTCAGAGTCTGGAAACAAAGAATTAAAAATACTGGTTATATAAGATATTTGCATGAATTGTATGGAAAAACCTCTATAATCCTCCTACGAAGACATAAATATTTAAAGTCTCTGAATGTTTATTCTCTAAAGCTTTTTTCCTCTTGTGCAAATATAACAAATGTGGAATTAAATCTTTTTTCTGTCTTGCTATTTCCATCTCATAGTATATTAAGAACTTATTCTTAAACATTCCCTAGGGACATTTTAAATGACTCCATAAATGTCCCTGTGTGCAATTGTAAGATTGCTTCTAAATTTTCACTATTGGAAACAACTACATTAAACATTCATCTTTTTAGCTTAATTGCTTTTGCAGCTATAATTATACCCTTGAGATGAAATCTTCAAAGTAAAGTTGCTTGGTAAAGGTTTATGCTAATTTTTTTAAGATTTTCATATAAATACCCCAAAATAACTGTTAAAACTGAGAGAAAGCCTGAAAGATCATAGTCATTTGACAACTTATCTATCCCAATCTGCTTCTTAACCTGTGTGTATGGTTCTTTGAAAATATTAATCAACCCATTAGTTCATCGTAGGAGAATCTTTTAATGAAGCTACTCTTTCTTTAACTGGACATCTTATTTATTGGTTCTCATGCAGGGATAATCCTTATCCTCTAAAGTTCTTAATCATACAAGAAGAGACATTTGGCTCATAAAATTGGGGAGGTCAGCAGCATCATAGAACATCCTCTTACAGCAAAGATTATCTAGCTCAAATATGTCATTTAAAACTGACAAAATTTATTGTACCAAGGTGATTCCAACTTATGGCAAGCACATATGCCATAAAGTAGAACTCTCATTCCATAGGGTCTTTAATAGGTGGCTTCATCTGCAGGAAACTGAGCTGCTAACCCCAAGGTGTCACCATAGGAGAAAGATGGGCAATATCCTCCTATGTGATTCATAACCTCTGAAAACCTGATCAGCTGTGAGTCTACTAGATGGCAGTGAGTTTTCATCTTAAAGAAGTACAACTCCTGGTCTGTCTTCTTTGAACCACCCAGGGACCTTAAAACCCTAGAAACAAATACGCATAGCCTGACTCATGCTCATACACTTTATAATGATTATCTTTCTTTGGGAGCCAGCCCTATTGTCTACTTCCTCCAATGGCTGCTTGGTGAACTTTTCTAAAACTCCTGTGACGTATAGTTCTTCAATTTCCTATTCTCAAAATATGCTTCCTGGTTCTAATTTTGATGTCTCAGGTGAACTCTGTCCAACAAACCCAAGTTCTTGATGACTTTTGTGGATTTTTTTTTGTGACTTGTCAATTTTATTGACCTTTTCAAAGAGCCAACTCCTAGTTTTGTTGATGGTTTAAATTGTTTTTCTGTTTTCTATTTCATTTCTTTTTGCTGTAATGTTTAGAATTTCAGTTTTTTTAGAGAGTGTCAGGTTTTCCTACTGTTCTTTTTCAATTTGTTGAAAATGTTGGGTTAGAGAGTCAATGGTCATTTTTCCTGCCTTTTGATGTGTTTGATTATTGCTATAAATTGACCTCTGAATACTGCTTTGGCTGTTTCCCAGAGGTTTTGATAAGTGATGTTTCAATTGTCATTTGTTTCAAGAAACTTTGTAATTTCATTTTTTATTTCTTCTAGTACTCATGTTCAAGCAAGGTGTTGTTCAGCTTCCAAATGTATGTTTTTTTCTCTTCTTTATCCTCTTGTTATTAATTTCTAATTTTGTAACATTGTGATCTGAGAGGATGCTTTCTATTATTTCTTTGTTTTTTAATTTATTGATGCTTGCCTTGTGACCTACCATTGATATATTCTGGTGAACATTCTATTCACATTGGAGAAAAAGGTGTACTGTTCTTTTTTTGGGTGCATTAACCTTTAAATATCTATGAGGTTGAGTTAGTTTACTGTGTGGTTTAATTCCTGAGCATCTTTGTTGAGTTTCTTTCTGGTAGTTCTATCTTTTCTTGAGAGTGGTGTATTTAAGTCTCCAACCACTATAGTAGTGTTGTCTATTTCCTTTTTGAGTTTTGTTAATGTTTGTTTTATATATTTTGCAGGTCTTTCATTTGGTTCATAGATATTTATTATTGTTATATCTTCTTGTTCTGTTGACTCCTTAATCATTATGTAGTGACCTTCCTTGTCCTTAATGATGGTTTTTGCACTGAAATCTATTTTATTATAAATTAATATTGCTACTCCTACTTTTCTCTGGTTGCCATATTCTTGGTATATTTTCCCCCCTACCCTTTTATTTTTAGTCTGTCTTTATTTTTCAGGTGCTTCTCTTGTAGACAACATTGATGGATTTTTTTTTAAATCCAATCTGCTACTCTTTTTCTCTTCAGTGGTGCATTTAACCCATTTGCATTCAGGTGTGATTATTGAGAAGCAAGGTTTCATTGTTATCATTTTGTTGAGTTCTTTTTGGTGGTGTTGCTAGTTTCTTTGGTCCATCCTGCTTTCTGTGACACCTCTGTAAAAAGGATGTCTCTCAGTGTTTATTGTAATACTAGTCTTGTTTTTACAAACTCCCTTATGTTCTGTTTTTCTGGGAATATCTTGATCTCTCCTTCATATTTGACAGATAGTTTTACTTGACACAGTATTCTTGGTTGACAGTTGTGTTCTTTGAATGTTTGATATATGCCTTTCCACAGTCTCCTTGCTCACATGGTTTCTGCTGAGAAACCAACACTTACTCTAATTTGCTTTCCCTTCTAGGTTACTCTTTGTTTCTCTCTCACTACCTTCAGAATTCTCTTCTTTGGTTCTGGCAAATTTACCTATGATATGTCTTTGTTTTTTTCTTTTGGGTTCTATTCATATGGTGTTCTCTCAGCTTCTTGAATATATATTATCTCGTTCTTCATTATGCCTGGGAAATTTTCTCCTAGTAATTCTTCCACAACTTTTCTGGTGCCTTTATTTGCTTCTTCCTGTTCTCAGATTCCAGTGATGTGCATGTCATTTCTCTTGATGGTGTCCCACTTTATTCTTAGATTTTCTTCTTTTTCCTTCCTTTTTTACTCTCCTTTTTGTTCTGGCAGATCAGTGGTGACAATTCTATCTTCTGTTTCACTGGTTCTGTGTTCCATCTCTTCAACCCTGTTCATGTGACCCTCCATAATATTTACAACATCTGAAACTTTGGTCCTCATATTTTGGATTGTGAATTCTTCTTTTTCCAGAGCCTCTAATGCTTTATTTGTTTTTTCTGCATTATTTTGGATTGCACTAAACTCCTCCTGGTTTTTGCTTGCAGTGTCCTGTAATTCTTCATATTTTTCTTTAACCCATTGAAAAGATTCAATCATTGTTCTTTTAAATTCTGTGTCAGAAAGTTTCATCAGACTGTATGGCTTCAGAAAATCCATTGATACTGTGTCATTTTTTGGATGATATCTTCTTTGGGCTTTTGTAGTGGCGTAGGTAACCTGCTTCCTACATGACATTGCTGTGGTAGAGTTTTTCTTGTCTGAGGTGATAGCAGGTTCTTGATCTGAAATCACCACTCCACAAGAGGGTGGGGCAGCTACCCTGCCTGGGTTTCTCTCAGTTCAATAGATAAAAGACCTGTGGAAGCAGCCACCTCTGTCAGGCAACTGCCACAGTTAGGGTAGCTCAAAGTGCTCTGGGCACTTTTTGATGGACTGGACTTGAGGAGACGTAAGGCAGAGCATGAAGACCTGATTATAAAACCAGCAAGCCTTGATTTTCCCTCAAGAAAGAGCTCCAGTTCTCACTTCCTTCTGATTGAACTCAAGGAGTCCCATATGATCCAGCCAAACAGCAGTAACACCCTCCCTTACAAAGTACCTCACACAAATTCCAGCGTTGCTTCTGGTATGCATTGGGAGCTGCATTCTAAGCATAGGCTAGTGGTGCCTGGACTGGAGCTCTACAGTAGTCTCAGTGATGGGACTGAGTTACGGGCTCACACTTACTCAGGGTCCAGCTTTCCTGCTCACCCCTCTGCATCGCTCCTCGGCATGTGCATCAGAACCTCCACAGTGTATGTGTGGTGTCAACAAGCTTCTAACCAGCACACATGTGGCATCAGCCAGCAGCTCCCCTGTGCATGTGTGGCATCAGCCAGCAGCTCCCTGGCACATGTGTGGCATCGGCAAGCAGCTCCCTGGTGCATGCATGGTGTCAGCAGCTCCCCGGCATGTGCCTGGCATCAGCAAGCAGCTCCCTGGTGCGTGTGTGGACCTATGATGCTGTGTGTTTAAGAAATAATTTTTAAACATCCTCCTAAATCTTTACAATGAGAAAAAGCAACTCTTAACAATTGTACTAGAAACATGACCATGACATATTGTATGCCATGTAACTTATTGGAACAATAAATGTCTTGAAGCAAGTTATTCATTTCAGACTTAAAAAGAGAAAAACAAACCCCACAAACCTAAATACCCACAAATCTTATTTCTATCTCATCATAGTCCTGGGGAGATAAGGAATGAAATTCTCCTCCACTGATTGATTCTAAGTTACTTTGTCCAAAGTACAAAACAGTCCACAGGATAGAGTGTTGGCATGATGATTTAGACTCACAACTAAGGCTTTCTGTCATGTGATCATTGTAGCATGATAAAGGAAACCTCTTAAAGCCCCAGCATCTTGTCTTCATTGCTCAGCTATCACTATGCTCTCCAGAAGGATTTCCATGTTTCTTTTGGTTTTTAAATGGAAAGGCCATTGTCTGTAGAACTTTCTTAAAATCATAAGCATTTATCCACCCACCTAATGGAATGCAGATTATCTTTGTAGAGAAGTTTTGAACCTGGTTAGTTCCTCCAACTCTGTGTATGTAGGGATTGGGGGGACATGACTTCCATGTCTGTCTACATAGACCCCTAACCACCTACATAGACCCCTAACTTCATGATTCATTTCCAGTCCTATGCTTAAAAATATTTTCTCTTTGATTAACATAATTCTTAGAAATCAGTACTCTATGAGTGAATATATTTTTATATTTTTTTTTAAAAAAATATGTGTTTGGTTGTTATATAGCAAAGTAAAATAGAAGATTCTTAAAATATAGTAGGGCAGGTTCATATGTCTAGCAACTGAATACTTAAAAAAGCACACACACACACACAAAAGAAAGTCTTCAAGAACAGAGTAAATATTAACTTTACCAATATTTACTTTATAGATGGAAAAACTGGTGGATTCGTGGAATTCTTACCCTAACTATGATTTCATTATTTTTCCTGATCATCTACATGGGATCCTTCATGCTGATGCTGCTTGTAAGTAGCTAACGAATTTTTAAAAGTGTGTCTTGCTTTGTTTTCTGGCATTTGTGTATGGTTGAAGTAATTTGAGCATGTTACCAAAAAAAATTAAGTAATTTGAGATTTAGTAGTTGATAGCAGCAAATTTAGGTCCTTTAAATGTATTCTGGTTTGTGGAATGATACAGGCTAATCCTGTTTTCAAAGCAGCCATTCAGATTGTTCAGCAGATACAGAATATACACACATCTACCATCAGAAACACACACATCTTCAACATACATAATTCTTGATGTCAGGGACGTCAGTCTAGTGGGAGAGACACAAGAGAAATCACATGGGTAAGTCTACAAGGAATAACTGGGAGAAGTTTTTAGAGTAGAACTTGTGTGGCGAGAACAATCACAAAAGGTATCTAGTCCAGTCTGGAGAAGATATCAACAAGGACTTCTGGAAGAGGTGGTGCCAAGACTAAGTCCTGAAAAAGATCCTAAGCATGGGAGGGCATTGTAAATGGGAACATCATGAAGAAGACGTGGAGCTAATGAGAGAATATGGTACATATGGACATGCCCACTGTGAGATTGGATAGACAAACAGAAGTCATTCATCAGACTTTTGTCATATATTGGAAGCCCAAGTACTGAAGCCAAATAAGTATTCTGAGCTTTTAATCCATTAATTTAACAAATATTCCCAGATGCCTGTTATGTACCTAGTACTACATTAGCTGCCTAGGACTACGTTAGCTCTGGTGTATGAAATGGGAATATAGAGAAAGATATGTCTGTTCCTGCTCTTACCAAGCTTGCTGCCCACACATTAAAGAATTTGTCAGACCATAATATCTTCAGTTGCTTCATATACATGTGATAGTTGTATAATTAATAAGGAAGACTGAAAATGAGTTAATGGTTTTGAATTGGGAAGTTGACAAAGAGTATTGATTGTAGCATGTACTGCCAAAAGAGTAAACATGTCTGTCTTGGAGGAAATGCAGGCAGAGTGCTACTTAGAGGCAAAGATGGTACATCTTTGTCTCACATCCATTTGGCAGCTTGTCAGCAGGGACCAGGCCTTGAAAAAACAGACATGTTGGGAGAGATAGCGGATCAACCAGGTGGTACATACAGTGACTGCAATACTGAGCTTGAGTACAGCAAAGATCGTGAGGGTCTGGTCAGATAGGGCAAGGCTTGATCTGTTTGCTGTGAGCTATGGTTGACTCCCTGACATCTAACAGCAACAATAATTGTAAGCTACAGTAAGTATGGGGAAAACGGTGGATTAAGATGCTGTGAGAGTGAAGAGGAAGCTGAGAGACTTTCCAGAAGTTTTCTGTTGATCATATGAGCTGTGAGCTAAAGATTTGAGTCAGTGAACTGAGCAGATGAGGCTCTAGGATATTATCACAGGCAAAGGATTCCTGCCTCTTTGTTTTTTTTTTAAACAAAAGCCCTGCTATCTAAAGATGCATGAAACAGTTGAAGCCAGACATGGTGAGAAGAAGAAAAACAATTATTCAACAAGGTTATCACTTACTCTACATTAAACACTATTTTAGCTGTGAAGAATGCAAGCATGTCCTTCAGGATATTTACTGAGGATAATAAATAGGGCATCTCGTTTATTATTACTATTTCTTACTCTTTCTGTCTCAGTTAATATAGCCTTTTCCTGTGAAGCAGCCTTGCTGTTTCCTGGTTTTTCTTGCCCCTGCATGTCTCCCTCTCTCCTGCCAGTCTAAGCTTATGAGCAATTTGACACAACTTTTTCATTTAATTTAGAAAAGACAAGACTTGGAAGTGAGATTAAACACAACTTAAAAACAAAAAATAACAATTCTTGAAAGCAACTCTTAGAAGTGTCACAAAACTTATTTCACTTTTCCTCATCTCATTAATTTTCCACTTCCTTGTGTATATCAAGGAAACAAAGATGAATAGGAAACTAATTTCTCTGGTTTGTTAATTTTTTGGCATTTGAAAGTGCTTTGCTTATATAACATGAATGACTAGAACCAAGCCAGTGAGAGGTTTGTCTGGAAGCCAGGCAATCAGATAGATGTCTGCTGGACATGGTTTGAGGAGAATCTCTGTTCACATTCTCTGTCTCTGAAACTACCGGAGGCTGAAATGATCACACCAGGACTTGGACATGTATGTAAATGTGTGCAGACCATTTTGACACAACCTTACTTACTGAAGATGAGAAAGACTTGAAGTGCTTGCTCAGAAAAACAAAAACTACGGCCTTCAATGTGGATTACATCTCAACATCAAGAAAACAAAAATTCTCACCATGGGATTAACAGGAAACATCATGATAGATGGATAAAAGATTAAAATTATCCATGATTTCATCTTACTTGAATCTACAATCAATATCATTGGTGCTAGAGGTCATGAGATCAGGAGACTTTGAGAAAGTATGAAGTCAAGGGCCTGTCCAAATTACTGAGGAGCAGTGATGTCAGTTTGTAGACTAAGGTGAACCTGATCAAGGCCTTGGTCTTTTAATTTATTTTATTTTTTAAAAAATTATTTTGTGTGTGTGTACTGTCAAATCTTACTGGTACAGTAGTTTGTCCCTCCTTCAGCAGAGCATCTGGTGGATTTGAACTGTGCCCTTTCTGGGACTGCAGTGCAGCTTCTTGCCAGTAGGCCACCACAGCTCCCTCGCCCTGGTCTTTTCAATCACTTGCTATATATCTGAGAGCTGGACAGTAAATAAAGATGACAGAAGAAAAATTGATGTTTTTGAGTTGTGGTGCTGGAGAAGAGTATTGAATATCCTATTAACTGCCAAAAGAACAAAGAGATATGTCTTGGGAAATGTGCAGCCAGATGCTCACTCCGGCAGCACATATACTAAAATTGGAATGATAACAGAGATTAGCATGGCCCCTGCACAAGGATGACATGTAAATTCATGAAGCATTCCATATTCTTAGATATGAAAGATTGGAAATAGAGTCATGTTCTGGCCAATGGTCTCAATAGCGAGCTCTATGAAGACCTGGAGCAACTGAAGAAGTTCCGTGCCCACAGAGGGCTGAGCCAGTTTCAGGGCCTTCAGGTTTGGGGCCAGCACACCAAGATCACCCCCTGTCAGGGCCATACTGTGGTTGTGTCCAAGAAGAAATAAGTCTATAGGCCTTGTCTATTAATAAATAGTTTATACTCCTTAAAAAAAAGTGCATTCAGAGTGTTCCTTGATGGCGAAGCTTCATCTCTCATGCTTTGGGCATGTTGTTAGGAGAGGCTATTCCTTGGAAAGGGATATACTTGGAAAGGTGGAGGGTCAGCAAAGGAAAGGAAGAATCCCAATGAAATGGCTTGACAGTGTCTTACAGCAATGGGCTCAAGTGTGTCATAAATAATGAGGATGGCACAGGGTAGGACAGGGTTCAGGGTTCAGATCTGTTGTTCATAGGATTGCTATGAATTGTACGTGACTAGGTGGCACCTAACAAGAACAACAACAACACTATGAGTGAGTGGGTATGAAGAAGAGATGGATGTTAGGCTGGAGAGCTTAATAAAGATTGTGGATAAAGGGACCCTTAAGTTGGACCTTGAATCTATCAGAGTAGAGCTCACTCGGCTTTAGCACCATCTTGTTCTAGACCTCTGAACCATGAGAGTCAAATGGAGAAAAAAGAATGGATGTACAAGCTAAAGCTTTGAGAGAGAGGAAAAAAAGTGAGGCAAAGGTCCAAGTAAGCATTAGCAGTTGCACCCACAGACACCACAACAGCAAGAGTGTAAAATGCCAGAGGCTGGGAATGCTGGTACAATTTTGACTGCATGTTCCTGTACAGAATGTCAGTCTCAATGGATCTAGAACCTCCATTACCATTAGATCACCATGAATACCTTGCCCCTTTCCAAACCAGCCCTTTTTGATCCATTGCCCTTGACCTGTGATGTTCTAGACTAACTCTTCTTAGTTGTGGCTGATTGTAGTATGCACAATAATTGATCTTTTCTGTTACACAAAAAAGGAAATCTGTCAGGGTAGAGGGAGCTCTGTGAATAAAGGTAGAAATGGCTCACTGGGTCAGAAGAAAGGCAGGAAATAGCATTTTCCTAGAGTATTGGGCCTTTGAACTTAGGAAAATAATTAGGAATCATGTACCAGAGGGCTTTGCCCTACTATGTTAAGAAGTTTGTATTTTATTTGGAAAGTGTTGGAAATATTGGAAACCATTTGAGTTATTACTCCTCTTTAGAAGATGTTTTTACTGAAGCTGGTTTGATGAGCTCCTTCATGAGCAGGTTGTTAAACTTTTTTTGTCCCCAAACTAAATAGTTTGGTGGGATAATTGGGCAAGAATTTATAGATGAAAACTATTTCTTAACCACTTTTTTCGTGACATAATTTGAAACACCTTAAAAGAGATTATTGCCTATTTGAATTCCGATTTTTTATTGTAAGAGGATCACAACATGCCTAAAGTAATAGAATTTGGGCGTTTGTATCTTTTTTTTTCTATGGAAGGAAAAATATGATTTTACCACAAATTGTTTGCTTTGGGAAATTTAATTGGTGAAGGAAATAAAAGTATTGAAAATTTAGTTAAATTTGAATTGTCATTGCTTTTATTTAAGCTTATTGTGTAAGTATGCACCTGTGGACTTGAATCCACCATCAACACCCATGGTAGCAATAGTCAAGACATCAAACACTGTCATGCATTGGCCAAGTCTGAGGCAAAAGATCTCTTCAGAATGTAAAGAAACACACTTAGAGGACTAAGATGTGTCTGACCCACACTGCAGTATTTTCAGTCACCTCATATGTATATGGAATAAGGAAGATTGAAAAAAGAATGAATGCCTTTGAATTATGATGTAGGAGAAGAATATTGATTATACCATGCATTACCAGAAGGGTGAACAAAAGTGATTTTGAGATCTCCAGTGCACCCAGACCAAACCATGTTGTTGTTGTGTGCCATAGATTGGGAACTGACTCATTGCTGACCCTCTGGTAGGTTTTCAGAGGCAGTTA